AGGCGCCCCAGAAACTGAAGCAGGTGCTTGGTCTTATTTGAGGAAGAGGACGAGGCGCTGACACTCGCTGCCCCGGGTCCGACTTACATACAGCTCGGCCTCAGACTTTCAGTGGAGGGCTGAAGCTACACAGCCCCCACTGAGCGCCCCAGTCGTGTCCTCCCGGCCCGGGAGTGCACGGAAGTCAGGGGACCCGAGTTCCCTGTTGCTCCAGGAATCACTGGTTCCCTGGCTTAGCGTCGGATCTGGGCGAAGCACTTTCAGCGGGTCCCATCTCTTCTCACGGGTTTTCGTGGAAACCATTGGGTAGAACATTTTTATGAACGTTTTAAGTGACTGGAACTTGGATATTCTTGCGTGATGGGGGAGGCCCCAGCCAGAAAGTTGAACCCACGGCGGCCAAGTGAGGAGCAGAAGGCCAAATCCACGTGGATGTTAAAGATGAAGCAGGTGATGTGGAAGGCATTTGGCATTAACCACAGGTCTCTTCGCCTCTGCCCTGGCTGGGACAGGGGCCTGCCGAGTCCTGCATCATCTGCTCTCCAAGCAGAGGGATGGCCTTTTGCCCACCAGGTCGCAGGGTGTGACAAGGCTTTGGGGCAGTACTTGGGCACATGGAGACCCCCACAAGTCCCCCTGGCTCGGGCCCGACTGGACCTGCGAGGCGGTCTTTCTTTTTTTTTTTTGCTAAGGAAGAGTCACCCTGAGCTAACATCTGTTGCCAATCTTCTTCTATTTTGTATGAGGGTCATGGCCACAGCATGGCCTCTGACTAGTGATGTAGGTCCATGCCTGGGAGCCAAACCAGTGCCTGGTGATCTCATCCTTGACGGTCCTCCAGTGGGCCCTTCTGAAGCAGAGCGGTGCCACACTCAACCAAGAGGTAGTCTTTTCAGCCACAGAACTCCAAGTCCAGAGCAGAAGCCAAGGCGGAGACAAGAGGTCGCAGAGAAGAATGTGGCTCTGGATTGGCTAGAAGGCTCGTTAGTGCCCCGCCCCTCGCCCACGGGGTTGTGGTCAGCCTGAAGGTGTGGACTTGCCAGGAGGAAACAGGCCAGCCGTCTGTCTTCGCCTTGCGGCTGGATGACAATGGACCAGCCGGACCCCCGACCTTCTGCGGTAGAGCCAGGCCAGGTAGGGCCGTGCTTCCCCCTGAGAGAAGCCTGCTGCTCCCCTCCAGACGCCCCCAGCCCTCTGTCCAGAGCGTGGACCTGGAGCGGGAAGGAGGAGACTGCGCCTGGGAGCTGGGGGTGGCTGTTCAGAGCAGCCTATGGCTGCTCTCGGACTCCCACTGGACCATCCCCCATTCCTCGGCAGGGCTCGGCCTCCTCCCCAGAGCCCACAGCCCGGTGGGGCCTCTGGAGCGGCAGTCTGCGGATTGGCATGAGTTACATCAGCCACTTCTGGTGCACCCAGACCTTGGGCACCCTGATTTGGAGGGCTAGGGGTAGTTCTGGTTCACGGCGGCATTTTGGAACTGTGAGAAGGAGCCGGGGAATTCTTTGGAGTATGTGCATCGGTCTGTGAGTCTGTCTGTGCAGAAATCTGAGCCAATCACTCAAAGTGCTGTGAATGGAGGGGCTTCACCCTCAAAATCTCCAGTTGATCCTCTCCCCCATAGCAACTGCAGGTTTTACAAATATTCCTTGAAAGGGATAATTGAAATTTTTAAAATCTTATGTAAAAAATGAATAAAAGTATCTTTGCACCATTTTGCTATTTTACTGCTCTTGAATGCCAAAGGCTTGTGCACACTCAGCTCCAGCCCTCTGAGGATCTCCCTCATGTCCCTCTAGATCCCTTCTGAGCCCTGACCTCGTGATGAGTGACATCTCTAAACACACTTAATTCTTTCAAAGGTAATCTGTCTTTTCTCACTGGCTACTTTTAAGATCTTCTTTGGGGTTTTTCAGTTTCACTATGATATGTCTCAGTGTAAATTTCTTTTTACCTGGCTTGGGATGTTGGTATTCCGGAATCTATAAGTTTGTATCTTTCATCAGTTCTGAAAATTCTCAGCCTTTATCTTTTCAAATATTACCTCAGTCCCCTTCTTTTCTTCTTCTGGAACCCAGTTAGATATATTATAGCTCTGGGGTTTTTTTTCATGTTTTCCATCTCTTTGTCCTTTTGTGGATAATTTCCTCAGGTGTGCCTTCTGTTCACTGATTTTCTCCAGCTATGTCTAATCTGCTGTTAACTGTGTGTGTGAAGGTTTTAACTTACTACAGTTTTTCATCTGTAAAAGTTCTATTTGGTTATTATCCAATTCTGTTTGATAATATTTTTAGACTCTTGCTTTTATCTCTTCAATCCCTACTTTATTAAAATAATTTTTTGAAACATATTAGACATTATTTTAAATTCTGTGCCAGAGAGCTCCCTATATTTGAAGTTGTTAGGAATCTGATTATGCCATTTTTTCCTACTGTCTGTCATTCATGTTTTGTTTGTTTTCTATATATGTTTTGTGATTCAAGACTGTGAGATTATATTTCTCGGGATCATATTGGGGGAAGTCTTTTGAAGCCTAGGCTGAAGGTAGGTTCCTCCAGGCAGGATTTGTGTTTGCTTCTGCCAGATGCCTGGAAGCACCATTAGCCTGGGACCAATATAAACTAAATTCTCAGCCTGCAGTTTTTTAGAGCACCCAGGGACTGTGAATTCAGGCTGCAAATCCACATAGAGACCAGCTTGTGGTTACAAATTCTCAGCACAGAGATTCTCCGCCTCTTCCACTCATTGCCAAGGTTTTAAAAAGGCAATTTACTTTGCAGTCTCCACCAGGAGGTGTTCACCCTTGGGGTCCCAATCTTTATTTGTGTGTCTATGTGAGCGTCTCCCATTAGATATCCTACTTTGAATGGGATATGGGTTTTATCACCTGGCCCCTGTGCTCACAGGACCATGAAAAACAAAGCTCATTTGCCTCATTTAGCAAATGACTTCCAGGTGAAAGCTGGCTTTCAGTTTTCTACCCACCACTCTTAGTTATCAGTTTTGCTTCATTTTTGGCTTGTTATTCCTTACCAATTTTCCAGCTCATCAAGGCATTTTAAAAGATTTTTTAAATATTTTCTCCAGCGTTAAAGTTGTTTAGTCACACTGGCAGGAACAGAAGTGCATTTGTGAGTTCCTTAGAGGAAAGCCATAGATATCTCCCAAATCTCCACTAACCTGGGAGATCTGGCTCTGCCTCAACCTCTTCCAACCTCCTCAGCTCCTTGTCATACCCAGTTAATTCCACAGCCTCATACTGTTGTGAGCTGCGCCCCTTCCTCCCCACCAGGAGCTAAGCCCAATTGTTTTCCAGTGCGTCCACTTACAAACAAGGAAAATTCAGGCGGCTTTCCTTACACTCAGCTGTTTTCTAATTCTCCTTTTCCTTGCTCAGGGAGGCATTAGGGGTAGTTTATGAAGCCTCCCCTTCTCCTGGGTGTTCTCAGTGTTTGAGGACTTTTCTTTCTCACATTCATCTTAGGGGTGGGGGAGGGGGAGGGTAAACATTGCATTCCCCACTAGGTGGAAGGCTTGCTATTCTGGGGAATTCTTCCTTTTCTTTCCCATCCTAGTCTCCTTATAGAGCCTGGGAAAGAGGGGTGGCATTGAGGCAATGGTTAAAAGTAGCAAGGCAAATTCAGCACCCAGTCCCCCACTTTGTAAAACCCGAGGGCGTCTAGCCCCAGATGTTTTGTCTCTCTTTAGAATGCAGAAGAATTTGATTTTCAGCTCTGAGACCTGGTTACCAATTCTGGGACAACAGGAAAAGTTTCTCTTATCCCTTCATAGTAATAATAAGTGACTCCATTGCTGCTGCTAATCCAATGGCTCTCATCACACTCAAAGTAAAATCCACACTTCTTATCATGGCGTCCAAAACCTTGCTCCATCAAACCACCCCAGCCTGTCTCACCTCGACTCCGCTCACTCTGCTACAGCTACGTTAGGCATGTGTTTCTAAAACACATCAAGCTTGTTTCCACATCAGGGCTTTTACATCCTCAGTTCCTTCAGCCTGGAATTCTTTTCTGCTTCGTGTTCCTGCAGCTGCCTCCTGAAGTTGCAGCTACTAAGTCACTGCCTCAGAGAGACCTCTTCAGATCACTCTAATTCATATTTCTGAATTACGCTTTCTGCTAATTCCAGAGCATTATATTCATGTGCAGTAACAGCATTAATTTTTTTTAACATCCATCCCCTTGATAAAGCAATGTAACATAAGGAACATTTTGTTGCAATCATTTTCTACAATGTGAATATGTGATACTCTAATGTTAAGAAATCAAGTCTAAGTCAAGGAAATTTAGACTGATTATTTGTGCTATATAAAACATGATTATATAAATCTAATACAGTAGTTGTATCTGGCTTTCATTATCTTTGTGTTTAAATTTTCCATCATTCATAGCTTGTCCCAAGCATAAAATCCCAAGCAATGGGATACCAAGGAATGAAATAACATGGTAGTAGCACCATCTGCTTCTGCACACTGTACAGGAGGCCACAGATTTATCTGAAGTTTCTTTTTTCTCTCCTATAGTATCATTAAATATCTCATCAAGTATCTTAGTCGTAGTAGGTGTGGTCTGGGGAGTCAGAGAGTTCAAACCTTTGGTAGTGACCTGTGGGTGAAGATGGTATACAAGAGGAAACAGAAATAGCATCTTATGATGAAGATGAAACGTTGCCCCACTCCTTTCACTATCTTATTACTGTACCTGAAGTCAGTACCTGAAATTATCTTATTGATATGTTTACATTTTTATTGTCTACCTCGGCCACAGGAGTGCAGTCTCACTCCGCGAAAGCACGGTCTTTCCTGCCAGATCTAACGCTTTCCGCCCCAGCAACATGCCCCTGGCACAGCTGACGCACTCAGTCACTATCATTGGAATGAGTGAACGCACGAACACTCGGACTCGCTCCGCCATCACTGCGCTCCCCAGCCCGGCGCCCTGAGGGAAGCGCGACGTCGTCCCAGGCTGCCTCTGCGGGAACCACGCGCGGGGGCCTCTGGGAAGTGTAGTCCGCGCGCCGGCCGCGGCCCCAAAGGTTGCGGGAGCGAGGCTCCGCGTGCGCAGGCGCTTCCGGCTCTGTCCCGTCGCTGCGGCCATTGTCCTGCCCCGGTGCGGCTAAAGCCGCTTTGGGCCGTGCCTCCGCATCTCAGAATTGGAGAGGACTGAGCTTGCAGCGGGGGCGGGAGAAGCTGGCCGGAGCCCTGGGTGGGCCCGAGGTCGCGACTTCCGGAGCCCTCAGGAGGCGGTGATTCCGAGTGCGCGGGTCGGGGTGGCACCTCCCACGGGTTTGGCGTGCGTCCGCGGGGCCGCGCCCACCATTCTGCGGGTGGGACTGGGCGTGGCCAGAGGAGGGTGTTCAGGACGCGGAGAGCCTTTAATTTGGGGGAGGGGGAGCGGCAGGCCCAGGCGGGGCTCGCGCATCTCCCCACCCGTCTCCACGGGAGAAGTGGCTAAGGGTTGGGACGGGGTGGGGTCGGCGGTTGCAGCCCTAAGAGTGGGGCCTCCTTTCTCTCCACAGCCCCTGTCTGCGAGCCGAGTCCCGGTGGGGCAGGAATGGCCCCGAGGCCTCCGACAGCCGCGCCCCAGGTGAGCAGCGTGTTCCTGACTACCCTGGCGCGTCCCATCCAGTGAGGCCGGCGGGGCGTGTTTGGAGTAGTCATTGTTCTCCGCCTAAGCGACTCTTTCCTGGCTCGGTGGTCCCCGCGGAGCCTCCTAGCCTTGGGAAACCCAAGGTGTCCAGAGCTGGAGGGAGCGGGTTTCTCAAACCGAGGGCCGCACTGTGGGGAGGAGGGGCTAGGGCGGTATGGTCTTGTGGGAGGAGTTGAAGGTGGATGTGTTGGGAAGTATCAACATTGAGAATGCTGAGTGCCAAGCCAATTCCTTGAACTCTTTCAAGGGATGGATAGGGTGGGGTGACAGGATAGAAAACTGTAGAGGAGGAAGTGACTGTCAGTGAGTGAAGGAGAGAGGAGCCCCAGCTTCTGACTCAGGGTGTCAGACTCAGGGGGCTATAGGAAGATCTTCAGGGGCAGAAGAAGCCTCGTCAGGATTTGCCTAGGAAGAGGCAGGAGATGAGCTTTCTTGGGCAAAGAGGAAGAAAAACCAGAGAGGTCTTGGCCCGTAGTTTTTCATGTTCTTTTCTGCTTTAACAAAGGTATAATGGTGCACACCCCCAGAAGTCCAGCCCTCAGCTAATTAATATGAAGCTGATTTGTGAACTCATTTTTTCTTGTGAGGGAGGAGGCATTTTCTAGAAGCATCACGACCGTGGGGTTATCCATTGATTTACGTAGAGTATATCGGTGAAAATAGAACAAGATTTAGGTGGTATTTTAATCCACACTCTCTTGAGAATTAAGGAGAAATCACAGATTTTACATAGGTTTGTGAAACAATCAAGATCAATTCAGATAAAAATACCCACCCGTAATGTCCTTTAAAAGCAGTTTACAGTAAATTAAATACACACAGTATAATGCCTTTATATTTTTTGCTTCTCGTTGTATGTTTTTGTTTTACAGGAGTGAGCCTTAAGGAATAAGACAAGTAACGATACTAGAACCAGACAGTTATTTGATTTGAGGAGAGCCACAGCAAATCGCTGTCATCAGCACCTTTCCATACAAAGTGTTTCCTCAATAGGCTTGAGAATTAGGATAATTTCACACACTTACACCTCATGGGGGTGATGGTCCTTTCTGCAGGGGTTGCCTTTTTAATGGTGAAAGTGGATTTTTGTTCTGAGCAGTGAATTTTAGGGACTGCTTTAACCTTCATTTTAAAGCTATGTTCCCCAAGCACTCTCATTGAGTTCTGTTCTCATGGAATGGCCTGAGGGTCCATTTGGGTTACCAACTCAGGCTGCAGATGATGACCAGGGACAAAGGACAGAACAGAACACTGGCCCTACAACAAGGGCTTTTTAGGCAGAAATTTCCCTGTGGTTCCCTTTCTCTGAGCATGGCCCTCGGGGAATGCAAAAGATGAGTAACTGTGTCATGTGACTACTTATCTAGGAAGTTAATTTGGTGAGGGAAGACAGCCTCAGGCAGGAGAGAGGTGGTGTCAAGTGTTGCAAAGGTCCAGAGGCTGCTATGAGTGCAGAGGGGAGAGAAAGTTCTGCGTGTGGGGAAGAGTCAGTGGAGATGTTGTCTTTGAATAGGAGCAGAGTCTAAGCAGGTGAAAACGAAGGGCATGGGGGTAGAGCTGATTGACTGTGGGTCAGGGGATTTGGGAGGCAAGAGTACAAGGGGTATATTCATGAAACTCTTGTCCTATGTGATAGTGGATGTGAGCTGTGGGCAATAGTTAGATGAGAATAGAAAGTTTTTTCTTTTTCGCCTTGGTAACCCATTCATTCAGCAGGTAGTCTTTGAATCCCTATGATGTGTTAAAAAACTTTTTTAGGTGGTTGGGATACATTAATGAACAAAATTTATAAAGGTCTGTTCTTTCATGGAGCTTACATCTTAGAAGGAGAAGACAGAAAAAATCAGGAAGTAAGTAAATTATATGGTATCCTAGAAGGTGACAGTACCTCAGAAAAAAAGATAAAAAGTAGACGGGCCGGCCATGGGCCAGCCCCATGGCTTAGCGGTTAAGTCCGCGTGCTCCACTACTGGCAGCCTGGGTTCGGATCCCGGGTGAGCACTGGTGCACCGCTTCTCCGGCCATGCTGAGGCTGCGTCCCACATACAGCAACTAGAAGGATGTGCAACTATGACATACAACTATCTGCTGGGGCTTTGGGGAAAAAAAAGGAGGAGGATTGGCAATAGATGTTAGCTCGGAGGCGGTCTTCCTCAGCAAAAAGAGGAGGATTAGCATGGATGTTAGCTCAGGGCTGATCTTCCTCACCAAAAAAAAAAAAAAAAAGGTAGAGAAAGAAAAGGGGGATTGAGTAGGGAAGGGGGAGGCTTGCAGTACGGGTGCAATTTTAAATAGGGTGATCAGGGTAGGCATTATCCTTGTTGAGATGGTGATATCTGAGCAGACTTGAAGGAGGTAAGGGAGTTAATGATGCACAGGTCTGGGGAAGAGTGCTCTGGGTTGAGGGAACAGCAGGATGTATGTCTGGTGTGTTCAAGGAGCAGCAAGGAAGTTAAGGTACCTTGAACCGATGTTTTTGAGTAGGGAACGAGTATGATTCCTTCTTAGCTTTAAAGATTGCTGCGAATGATGAAGTGTAGGAGCAAGAGTTTGAAAGTTGGCACTCCTTTGGAGAGGTGTTTTGATGAGTGGGACCTTCCCCCTGGGCTTGGCTAACAAATACCTGAAGTGGTTTCAAGTGGGAGGGGAATGAGAGCAGAGACGGTCGAGGGGAATACCGTGAAAATCATTAGGATCTGTAGGATTGATAGTAGCTATATCTATGTGAACACTATGCATCCTCATTCACCTTTTCTTCATTATACATACTACATTTTTAGTTAGGAATAAAAAAAAGGTATTTGTCATTGTTAAAGTTGAAGCCACTAGAACAGTAGGAAATGAGGAAAGTTTTATAAGAAAAAAGCTGCATATGGAGACCAGCTTTCTTGGTGTTCTACCTTAAAGGGGAGAAAATGCAGAGGGACCAGGGCCTGATCTCTGTTGACTCCAGATTCTAAGAACTTTATGGTTAGATCATCAGGATGAAGAGACCCAGCAAAAGCTGGCTAAAGTCACCCAAACTCAGACAAGATGCTCTTGGGCCACAGGGAAGCCAAGGCACTTGCTGAACCAGGTCAGGATGTTTGAGGTCAAGGATGTTCCAGCTCCCTCTTTCTGGTCCCCTTTCTCAACCTCTTCCTGAGCTGACTGGAGCTGGTCTTTAAGCCTCAGGTCAAACACTCCTTCTCTTGGGGAAGGTCAGGTGCCCTTCCTGGGCATTCCCAAAGCACCTCTGCACACGTGTCGTAGTACTGCTCTTGTGTCATATGGAGTGGTATGTTTACCCATCCGTCTCTGTCCTGGGCCACTTGACTCCTTTCATCCCTTGCTCCAAAGTACACACACATGGTAAGTGGGTGTCATAGGAGCAAACATTTGTAACCACTTAACCCCAAGTAGAAATTTTACACTTTCTGCTCCTAACATAGCAAAAATTATATTTTTCCAGTTATAGTGATGCTTATTTTCTGGTAAAACAATTGCATGAAACAATGTGACTTTCACTGAATAGTTTTAAGAAATTTTGTCTTTAAGATGATGTTAGAATGTCAAAACCTGTTCCTCTAAGACCTATTTTAAAAATGATTCTTTTCCTGACTTTTCTATATCTTGTTCTACTTTTATTTTATTAAAATAGCTCATTAAAGTATGTGAGCATATATATGTAATACAGAGTTTTTAATAGAAAAAGTCACTCATGATACCTCTTCTTTAGTGTCTCTGTTTGTTTTGATGAGTTTTCTTCTTTTTTCCCTGTGCATGTTTTTTTGTAAACATTTTCAATGATTACATTTTAAATTTCATATAATTTTTATGAGGATTTTTCTTTTTTAAAATCGCTTTTAAAATACTGTATTATATTGCTTTGCATGAACATACCCAAATTTATTTAACCACTTATCATAGGACATTTAGGTTGTTTCTAAAATTTTTACTATTGCAGATAATACTTGGATAAAATCCCATTGGTTACAGTAGATAATTTTTTGACAATACAGTTTAAGAAAATTGTTTACATCTGTATTCTTTTTTTTTTTTTTAAAGATTTTATTTATTCATTTTTTTCCCCCCAAAGCCCCAGTAGATAGTTGTATGTCATAGGTTCACATCCTTCTAGTTGCTGTACGTGGGACTCGGTCTCGCGTTGGACGGAGAAGTGGTCCCTCGGGGCGCGCCTGGGATCCGAACCCGGGCCGCCAGCATCAGAGCGCACGCACTTAACTGCTAAGCCACGGAGCCGGCCCATACATCTGTATTCTTAAGTGAACTCTAGCCCTCAGTGAGAAATAGAGATCTTTGACAGGTTTTACTGTCATGCTTATCTTTAATTTGTAGAAACATTCAAATTGCTTTTCATCTTTTTCTGTCTTTTGGAAGAATTTACCAATAAAGCATTTAGATCGAAGATTTTTATAGAGAGGATGATTTGGAGACAGTTTTCCTCCTCAGTTATTAAGGTTTCTACTTTTGTGTGTGTGTATGTGTGAGGAAGAAGAGCCCTGAGCTAACACCCATTGCCAATCCTCCTCTTTTTTGCTGAGAAAGACTGGCCCTGGGCTAACATCCGTACCCATCTTCCTCTACTTTATATGGGGCACCACCACAGCGTGGCTTAACAAGTGGTGCGTCAGTGTGCGCCTGGGATCTGAACCTGCGAACCCTCAGGCCGCCAAAGTGGAGCGCGCGCACTTAACCGCTACGCCACCAGGCTGGCCCTAAGGTTTCTGCTTTCTTTTAATCAACATTGGTGATTTAGAATTTAAAAATTATCCACTTCACTAAGATTTTTCATGTTTCTCAACACACTGCTGTGTATTTTACTGTTTGTTTATCCCCTTATATTTAAAATTGATTTCTTTTTTCACTAGATTTGTCAGAGGTTTTTCTGTTTTGCCAGTATTTAAGAGGAACTAGCTTTTAGATTTGACTATTAA